TTGTAAATTCTTACCTCCATCACCACTATCATTATCACCTCCACAAGTGTAAGAGTTAGAAACAGATTCTCTCATGAGACTCATAATGACATTTTCCTTCTTGATATATTGACTTGGATCCTCACCAAGTTTCATATCACATGAAAAGTTGAGAGCCAAAAACAAAGGAATGTACATTTTAAGATCGAGTGGAACATTGCTCGAGTCCATTAAACAGAACATTTCCACAAATCTCGATGCAATAGAAGTAATTTGAAGGAAGAATGGAAGTGGTGAAATGTGATCCTTCAACTTTTCAGCAAGCACCTTATCGTATGGTGTTTGAACAAATGAAGGATTATTATCATTTCTATAGGTGGCAATGTGAATCTCCTCAATGCTGTCCAAGGTTGGGATTGGGAATTTCTCCTTGAGGAATTTTTCATCGATTGGCTTGGTATTGGCCTCTTCAGCTTGTTTGAGACGAGTTTCTAATTCTTTCAATTTGGCTTCACCGAGTCTTGTCTTTTGTTCCTCAATTCTCTTAGTATTTTCATCGGCCATATCCTTGGCTTTTTGAGCAGAAGGAGTAGCTCTCAAGACAACATTCTCAGTGGAGAGAATGTACTTTTCAATCAAGTCCTTCCAGAATTGTTCGTCCTTCTTGGCCAACTCTTCGGAAATGAGATCAACATCGAGAACTTGTCTACAATCTTGATTATCAGTGCTGTACAAAAAGTCCTCAATCAAGACACTAGAGAAGGTTTCATGAGGAGAGGTTTCATATGAACGCAAGCTATCCAATCTGTCTCTATTAATGACCAACTTGAAATATTCGAGGTCAATCTTTACATTTCTCATAAAATCATAAAACTTTTCCACAATGGTATCATATCTATCTGGTTCAACATTAATAAAACAAATCTTGTGGGTATTTTCAAAGGTTCTATCAACAGAAGCATAGACATCTCCACACCAAACATCTCCACTCTCATTCTCTATAAATTCCTTTCTAATTGGAGCAATATCACCACTAGTGAGTGCACTCCAAACAATATCCAATGCATAGGATGTTGCAAAATCCTTCCAAGGTGTTGCTCTCCAACCAATGGTAACATAAAATCCAGAATCTTCCTCATCCGATGGATAAACAATGTCTTTAGAGATTGATGAAGTCAACTTTGGAAGTGATTGCTTCCAAATATTCAAATCCAATTGTGGATTAATAGTTGGTTCTCGGTTCAATACTTTTTGTTCAATAGAATCATTAACAGAGTCAATCAATTCTTCAACAGAAGTGTTACCCACAACAATAACATTGAAATTTTGTGGACAATAGTATTCCTTGTGGAATTGCCTAACTTTTTCAATGGTCAATTCTCTCAAATTTGAAACTCTTCCACCAAAATTATATTGATATCCTTCACTCTTATCAAACATTAATTCATTAAATACCATATAAATTAATTCATCAGGTGCATTCTCTCTTCCGAGCATTTCATTATATACAACACCACTATTCTGACCAGATCCATCAATGTGATGAATTTCAGTGATGAAAGCATTATCACTCAATGTAGGATATAAAATATGATCCAAATAAACTGGTAATAATCTGTAAAATCCTTCCTTTCCTGCTGTTGTCAATTCATAGGTTGTATTAGTATTTTGAGTATATGCATTTGTACCTTGAGCAAAGCATCTATTTGCAACCTTATCCAAGATACCCTTGTATGGATATTCTTCACTTCCCATGAAAATTAAATGTTCCAAAACATGAGGAATACCATCATGATCGGCAGGTCTTGTTCTCACTGTTAAATAGGCCTTCATAATTGGTGATTGAATTTTGGCCAATGTAATCAACATGCCCGTCTTGATGGATCTATACTTGTAAATGGTACCATAATTTAAATAATCGAA